TATGTAGGTTTGGGTAATCTAATTGTTTTAAAAATTGTGAGTTAGTTACCCTATTTTATAGTTTGGATCAATTAGATTTTCTCGGTTACTCGCTTTTTCGGTTCTTTTTTAACACCCCTAGCTGTAGTAATGGATTGTTATATGTAGAAATAGTTAGATGCAATGTGTGAATTGTCTAATGGGTACAAAAAATTTTGAGTAAAATTTCAAAAGGTAAGTTTTTCGAAATCAATTCTAAAGAAGTAGTGTTATTCAAATATCTTCCGAAAGGGTAAAAAACGCATTTAGTGAACATGTTTCCATAAAAACTGCATTAACAAAATGTATTCTTTTATTTGTCTACATATTTTTACTCACTGAATGCATTATATCAAAAGTTAGTAATGGATTGCCATAAATAGTTAGACACATTGCATAAATTGTATAAGGGGTACGAAAATTCAAGTAAATTAAAAGGTAAGACTTTTTGCAAAATCAATTCCAAAGGAGCATTGTTATTCAAATCTCTTCTAAATTTTGCATATATGTCATGTATCCATTATGATAGTGTATACACTATCAGTGTATATAAGATTAACTCAGTCTTTTTTCTTAGAAAACATGTTTACTAAATGCGTTGTTTAAAAGATGCAGTCACTGAATGCATCGTATCAAAGGTTTCATTATTTGGGAGCTCTTTTAAACACTATCATTGTTTCAGAATTACCTTGAAAAATTTAGATCATTACAAAGATAATTAACTACGAAAAAAGTTTTGATCAATTTCAAATTGTTCAAAATTTTCTTATGTACTAATTGACAATAGTATAAAACGTTGGCTATATCCTACTTATTTTGATAAAGTTTTGTTTATATATGGATTATTTTTATAAAGTTTTGTTTATATATGGTTATTAAAAGTGCTTCCTGTGAAAGGCTCAATAGGTTTTAACATTGACTTTTCCAGGACTTTCTTCTTGTTATGTCAAAAAAAAAAAAAAAAGAGTTTTGTTGCCAAAATTGCTCTGTAGGACAAAACAATCAAATCACATAACACATATTTCAAAAGAAATCAAAATACAAAACACAAAATTGCTTATTCTTTTAACATACCTTCCCACAGTGGAAGTGGTAATCCAAAAAATCATATATTAGTTACTGGCTACATACATAATTTTCTAGTTTAGAAAATTTTGAACTAACTAAGATTCCGTAAATAAAACTCCTCTAGTAATGTCAAAAATACTAAAAAGTTGAAGTTATCAAAAGCAAATACAACGATTGAATCATAAAAGTTTATCCGACAAAGTATGCAAGCTTAAATTGTTACAGGAAACTCCTGAAAATTTAAATCAAGAAAAGAGTTAAAAAAAACATAGCTCCAATAGGATTAAATTGAAAGGCAGCAAATGAAAATTTCCAGTGATGCAATATAGTTCCCTCACCTAAAATTTTATGTTGAGTAAATAGCAATACAAAATCATTAACCACAAACCTTACAACCAAATTACGAAACAAAATAAACAAACAAGTGTAAAGACTACCTATGGAACCTTAAACTAACTAAACAAGGAAAAACAAACTGATTCCGTCCATAACTCTATAAACTCACAATTTTAACTATTCCATACTTTTAGAGAACTAATTTATTAGACAAAGAAAAACAATGTATAATAAAAAGTATCCTCTTTTCTCTAGATCCTCATCCACGCCATGATATTGATATTAAAATCTAGATTAACCATTATTCTATTTAGAGTCAAGGAGGTTTTGGTCTAACAGTTAAAGTTAAGGTTTTAGAATTTAGATACTCTTGGGTTCAAATCTCCCTTCCCACAACTTAAATTCTATCCTTTCTCTATTAGAGTTTTTTTTTTAAATATTATTCAGCATAGATTTAATATTCAAAGTAAATCATACAAAAATTTTGATTTGGAAATCAAGCGAAAAATAACAATAATACTTGTTGAATAGCGCTTTTAACAGGGACATTAGGGACAACAACCACGCCTTTAATATCAAGGAACAAGGACAGACTAATAGACGTATTTCCCCAGCTGTTCATTCACAAAATCTACAATCCTAGTCAACACGCTCTAGATGCTGAAAAAATTTTCTCCTACCACAGCAAAACTAACATAAAGTACTAAGGGAAGAGCAAGGTAAAAAACTGAAAATAAAAAAACTTAATAAAACTACTGAGCATAAGAGAGAAATAGAAGAGAATAAGACGATAAGTATTGTAATTGTTAAGCAAAAGAAGATAGAAAAATTTGTCATCGGTGGAAACCATAGTAGTAGGGTAAGACTTAATTTACAACGATTAATGCTCATTAAACAATTTTATTAAATTACAAAAAAAAACCTGGTAGAAATCATATCGCACAACTGAAACCCAACAGCTTATTATGGCAAATAAATAAATTGTAGGATAAGGAAGAAGAAGAAGAATTGAAGTAACGGTTGTAAAAATACCCCAAACCATACAGTCGAAGTTTGAAATATGAGTTTGACTAAAACTCATCCGTATAATACAGTATAGAGATTTCTAATAAATAATGGTGTTTATGAATTATTTTATTAATTGATATATATATATATATATATACACATATATGTATGTTAAACATATTCAAGTGGCGTAAATTACTTTGAAGGTCCTTAAATATTTGCAAAATGTTCTCCTTAGTCCTTTTTTTCTCAAAAGAAGTTCTATTTAGTTTTAAACTCTTTAAAAAGTCCATGGACTCTCAAAGTTTGTAAGAAATTAATTTAGTCCCTTGATATTAGTATATAGTTATAACCTCAAATTCTTTCTTTGATGTGAAATAACCATCAAAGAGCAATTACAATAGTTCAAAGTAAAAGAACCGTGGATATGGAATATTAGACACTTAGAATTTTTTTTATCAAGGGATGGATGGAATTTAAGGAACGAGGAGAGATTTGAAATCTAAAACCTTTAAATCCTGCAATTTTAACCTTAACCGTTAGATCAAAATCTCGTTGACTAGATCTTTAGGAGTTCTTTCAATGTCAAATAATTTTTTTTTAATATCAATTTGTTCATCATACAATCTTAGTAATGGATTTGTAAGTTGCAATTGCACGTGATTTAATTTTTTTTTTTACTTTTGTTATTTGTTATTTACAACGTGTATATAGTTACTTAGGTCCAATTTGTTCGAGTTCTTTGGTATATTATAGATATCTTTTTATCTTGTGACGGGTATTTTACATACGTACAAGTTAAAAAATCGAATTACACCCGTTCACTGCAAGTATACAGATCAACTAGTAGTTTAGGGTATATATCGGGTCAATCCCACAGGGAAGAGTGAACAATTACCGGTATTATTAAAGCTTCTTTATTATTTAGACTATCAATGAATTATAACAAATTTAACCTACTGAAATTATACAAAATAACAAATAAAAGCTCCTTAGGTTGTGGTATCCCTAACTACTCATGCAAGTGCTATATTTAGATCATTGAGTACTACATCTAAGCTAATTATGGTGTAATTTCCTTAAACATGTGAAACCTACTTTCGTAGTGAATCAACTATACTCATAACTAATCCATACCTATTTTCATGGTTATGAAATTAGCTACAAGTTCATTTCTTCAATGAAATTACATGAAATGAATCACTAAAAACCACATAAGTGCACCTCTACTTTCGTGAGTGTACTCCCTATGTTTAGCACTTCTTGAACTAGTGTTAAATCTCAATTTTCATTGCAGAAACAACACCTTAGATAATCACAATTAATGGTACCAGATTAATCATGATTTAAGAAGCCAAAGTGCTAAATAACTTGCTCAAATCATAGCAATCAAATAACCAAATAATAAACACTAACAATCATAGAAAGTTCAACCAAACCCAAGGCTTAAACTTTAAAAACACATATTACACACGAAATCCAGAACTTGTATATTAACTAAACTTGGAATCAAATACAAAAGATAAAGAGTTTGGAAGGAATACAACCCTTGTCACATGAGCTTTCTTCCTTGCCTTCTTCATCCTCCATCTTCATCCTAATCTAGATAATAAACAAGAATGGTTGAACTATACTACTCTATACTAAGCTAAACTAATACTAGGAAGATGAAAGAGCTACATTTCTGCAGACTCCAAGCTTCTCCCGTATGTCTCTCTATCTCTTACTCTATCATCTCCCTCTTTTCATTTTGCAATGAATTTGGCTATTTAATGATGAAAGGTTGGTCAAGAAATGATGTTTTCAACTCCCTTTTACAGCTGGGAATGTTTCTCACATGTCTAGCATCCCATGTGAGTTGGTGGAGGTGAAATTGAGTTTTACGCGTATAAAGCAGCCTTTTCTGACCAGTGATCCGAGCTGCTACAGTGCCTCGGATCCGTATGGATCCGAGCTCGGATCCACTAACCCAGAAACAGCCGAGCGTTCGGATGAATAGTGGATCCGAGTGTGGATCACTTGCTCTGTTTTTGGCCCAACTTCAACCGATCTTTATTGTATAGTTTCATGGTCTTAGATGGCTACATGAAGTAACTTGTTCTGAGTTAATATTTATAAAGGACATGCACATCTCATGGCAACAGCATTTCTCAGAAGTATTAAAATCCAGCATTTTGCTTGCTTCAAGCTTTTTTTTTTTGCAAAGTAAGAAACTTTTGTTGATCAGAGAATTTCAGATTTTACACAAGGGTAGCATTTCAATTCCAGTTCTTAAGCTGTTACATCAGACAATGCCAATCTAAGCCCTATGCAAGAACTAGTTTCCAGTTCTTCTGAGTTCTTGGAAAGCTATACAAGGAAATGGTGACAAATCTTATGTTGCTTACAATATATTCTTCTGTGTAACAATTTCAATGTGCTTACATTGAAAGCCACAATATATCTGTTAAGCAATCTGTTTGATCAACTGTATCATACTAACAATAACTTACATTAATATGTCACTTCCTATTTAGGTGTTTATGATTTATTAATTTGAATTTCTTTTGCTCCCAGCTAACATTCGTTTTGTACTTGTTGACATTTAGGTGGAAAAATCGCTTCTGGTGACTGGATTTGGATATGAACATGATGATGCATGGGCTACCAACATTGATTTATTCAAGGAATTTACTGATGTTAGCAGGGTACAACTCTCTTCTACTTACTATATAAACTAAAAGAAACCATAATCCTGAGTTACCTTTTTTAGTTGTTAGCTTTATTTAATCCCAAATATAAAAACACTTATTTCTTTTTCGAACTAAGAACTAATGGTTAACTTATTTATTTCTATCTTTCTTTCTCCATCTTATTATGTGTCTATCTGTCTGTTTGTGCTCTTCTTGGTCAGGGTGTTAGAAGGCTTGGAGCTGCTTCCGTGGACATGTGCCATGTTGCTTTTGGGATTGCTGAAGCCTATTGGGAATATCGTCTAAAACCCTGGGACATGGCAGCTGGTGTATTGGTAATTTTTTCCTTTTTTATTGTGCCATTTTAAACTTGCAAAAGATGAGTCTGTAGTTTACTTTCCAAATATTCCTGTAGAAATTCAAGTATCAGGCTTATTTCATTGAGAGTACAGTTTTATTTCTTTTATGTTCTTTCGATCTAGTGCTTTAATGATACAGATTGACAATGGTCTATTTTGACACAACATTGCTGTCTAACTTTTATTGAACTTCAAATAAATAGGATGTTTACTTACCAAAAAGAACGTACTGGGACTTTTCTGCTAAATTAGGAATTTTTTGCTATCCTTTCCATCTGTATGCCATCTGCTTATTATCAGCATGAAGTGTAAGATATGCCTGCATTTTTCTTGTAAAGATTGCAGTGACTATAAGTCAACTGAGCAGGGAAAAGTTTTGGTGAAGCAGTGTCTCCAATAAAGTGAATGCTTCCTTTATGAGCTAATGTAACAATATAGCCTCAAAACCATACTTATTAAATCTGTCCCGGACAGGAAACCGGTGAAAGGGGTGGGTCAATGGGTTACAGATTCAACCAGTGGGTGGTTGATTGAATCTGATCTTAAAATTAAATATAGTGTACTTATACTTTTTAATGCAATATATATTGCATAGATATTAACAGAATATGTTACAATTTACAACAAAATTTTTCTTCGGTTTTCAATGAAATGTTAAGTAAGTAACTACTTTAAGGATTAAGAGCAATAAATTTCATTAGTATTTCAAACCAACTTTCAAGTGTAAAATTAAATATAGTGTACTTATACTTTTTAATGCAAGCGTAGATATTAACAGACTATGTTACAATTTACAACAAAATTTTTCTTCAGTTTTCAATGAAATGTTAAGTAAGTAACTACTTTTAAGGATTGAGAGCAATAAATTTCACTAGTATTTCAAACCAACTTTCAAGTGTAAATTTTTATTTCATTTAATTTAACTTCCAGAGGTAAAATTTTATTTTGAATCAAATTTGTCTTGTGGATGAGTTGTAATAATATATCATTTTGATTGATATTGAATTGCAGTAATATATCTTTTGGCTATTAATTTCTTAATTTTTAGCACAGAGGATGAGGGCATAATGAAGCTTTTACAAAAGGCTTCAATAAAGGGAGGACGTTAAGAAATAAATAAATATATAGAAAACCTTCAACTAACATCAGGAGAGCTACTGGCCCAGCGGGGAGGCTTGCCACCTCATGTTGGAGATTGCATGTTTGAAATGAAGCAGCAGCATGTGATTAACTTTTTTCTCCAAAATTCACAGACCAGGGTTTCTTAAAAAACCTCATGGGTTCCTGGTTCTTCTGGTTGAGCCGCTGAGTCATTGAAATTTAGCGGTTGAGTGCCTTGTCCAGTCAGATTAGCTACCCAGCCTGGCCTAATGGCCTGTTCACCTTGTTAACTGGTCAAACCACCGGGCCAGGCCAGGTTTAATAACTATTCTCAAAAGTGAGAATAACAGAGATTAAGGTGGCTTTTAGATCACAACAGAATAATGGCTCAACTTATGATGCTTAGAACTGTGTTATATGAAGTCTTTCATAGATTAGTTAAGAATTTTGCAGTATTTAAACTAAATGTACTTCTTTGAGGTACAAACTTTGATAAAGAATTTGGATGCTCTGATTATATATTTTCATTCAAGATTCAGGGTTTTAAAAGTGATAGTTGTCACTTTCGCTTCTTGTGGTTATTGCTGGCTGCTCTTGACTCATAATGGAATATGTGTTATTGCAAATTCTAACAGATTGTTGAAGAGGCTGGAGGAGCAGTTTCTTGCATGGATGGTGGGAAGTTTTCAGTATTTGATAGATCAGTCTTGGTATCCAATGGTGTATTGCATGCAAAGGTTAATTATCCCCCTTATCTACTGCATTCACAATTTAATTTCTTGTCAGTGATGAGCCCAGATTTAAGCTCGTGATGCTTTAACTAAGAAACAGCAATCTTTGCGTAAGGTGTAATTGTGCGCGCGCGCGTGCGTTTTTTCCCTGTAACAGAATATTTTATATGATTATCCCATATATGCATCAAATCGTGAATGAAATCCAACAGGGGAATAAAGCTAAATATTCTCTAACAATTGCTAGAAAGAAAACATGATGGTTGCAAGCTTGTTTACTATGGATCTGATTTGGAGGCTGACCACCCAGATCTTGTATAATTACTTTAGAGTTCGTTCTGGACTATGGTGCTTTTAGTTGGAATCTTTACAGTTGTGAAGTGCTTTTTAATTTCATTAATAATTCTTGGGTTAGGTACTTTCACTTAATAGTACTTTTGGATGAAGCTGAAGTTGGAGCTTTTGATTTTAGAAGCACTTTACCAGTCACTGCACTCCAAAGGAGTGCTTACAGTCTTTTGATCAGAAGAAGAAATTAAGTTGTAGGCAATCTCGTGCTAGTATAGCTGCCTCCAAAGATCTTTATTCTAGTTAATTGTTACTTCGAAAAGAATCTGGGTTGTTTTATATGATTTTGACTGGACTTTACTCCATTACAGTTTCTTTGAGTAGGTAACCATTCAATAGGTGAAATGGATCAAAAGACACATCAAACTGACACACCCTGAAGCTGAATTTTTTATCGATTACTCAAACTTATACTTTCCTCACAAGCCCCAGAAGGCCTTCTAAATGTTGCTATCCATCTTAGCACATGAAATTCATCTTAAATGTGCATCTGGATCCTTGGCTGTTAGGACTTATTTTAAGAAGTTAGGACTTATTTTAAGCTGTAGGAGCTTCCAAACCAAATAATGGTGGGTAAAAGTAGGTAGGAACATATGAAAACTGTGGATGTCTGTGGAGAGCAGGAAACTAGCACAGCTAAAGAGTGGCGTGGGGACACGTTTGGTGTGGAATCTGGTGGAGAACTGGATGATTGTGATATCTGGTATTGTGTATAACATATGTAATGTTGTTTTCTCTTATTTACCTAGTTAGTACCATCACTTGTCCTCTGCCTCAGTTCATGTATTTGAATCCTTTTAGTCACTTTTTTGGGTTGTTACCACCAGCCAGAAGTTGCTGGCTTGTTACTGGATTTGTGATCATGGATATGCGGGCCATCAGTTGATGTATTCGTGACAATGTGTATTGTTTTCGTTACTGTTTACCTCGTTCCACTCGTCTGTTTCTGTTTGAGTTCAAACGACTGACTGCTGCAGAGACGTGTGCTTTATCTGTATTTTAGAATGTGATTGCTGACTAGAATAGGAAATTTTTTATGAGAAAGTATTAACATTTATTTTTTTTTTTGTATTTTGTTTGTTTTCCTTAGTCTTCACCTGATATTCTTGTATTAAATGTGCAGCTGCTGGAGAGAATTGGTCCTGCAACTGAGAGATTAAAGAACAAAGGAATTGATTTCTCTTTGTGGTACAAGCCAGAAAATTACCGTACAGATATTTGACATACTACATAGTTCTTTTTGTGCCTGTGATACAAGACCTGCTGTTAGGTTTAGGTGGCTATGACTTCATTGAATTCTAATCTTTATTGAGATTCTATATCTTTCCATACAAGCTTATACTACTGAATGCTTGCGACTGATGTAAAATCAACAGTAATTGAAGTTCGTCATTTTCTTTTTGGCTGAAATTGCAAGTGAGTAGTTGTTTCATATCCTAAACTCAAAATTTTACTTTTAGTAAGCTAAATATATAATAATTTCTTAGAGATAGATATTGAGATGTAGACAAGGAAATGGGCTTATGAAATATGGGTCTGAGTTTCATTTAATAGATATCTCATTTTCTGTCTCCCTTGAAAAGTCCCCCTCTGTTTCTTGTATGCTATACTTTGGTAGCTGGAGCAGTAACTAAGTCATTGCATTAAACATCTGGCACAGGATAAAACTTAAAATTGCACCTTCATCTGATCATTCTTTGTTCAGTGATGAATTCCTTGAAACTTTTTGAATTTTGGTTCTGCTGATATTGTATGTTTCTCTGTATATTTGTCTCTCATGTCCAAGGAAATTGGCCCAAATGCATGGCATTGGAATGTCCTCTAGCATTTGGTACTACGAGTACAAGGGATTTCACATGTCTGAACACAAATGCAATCTTTGGTGAACTAATGTCTAGAATAGATGTCACAAACTGAAATTTCTCCTGAAGCTCTTGGTCTGAATAAGCCTTGGTGAGAGTGAAGATTTATGTATCTTCATCTTGAACCTAGTCATTTGTGTGCAGACATATGTAGCTACAATTTTCTAATGAAGAATGTCCGTCCAACTTTTAGTTATTAGAATATCTCTGGAGAGGTTATGCTCCATAGAATTTTCTATTCTGGATGGACAGCGTCCCAATGTATTGTGTTCTAGTAAGAACCTACATAATAATAATCTCTTCTGGGTTCAAACAGTCTACAGTTGACAAATGTGCAGTTCTTTGCTTTTCAGGTTTCTTCTCTATTTCATTTTCAGATTATGATACATCTGTCAAATTTAAATTCATTATGAAGTTTATCATAGATCCATGATACAATTTTCGGTTAAATTAGTATAGAATAAGGTTTCAGCACTAATTATCTTATCTTCTATAATTATTGAATGATTAGTTTTCAACATAAATTGATTTATCTGGAATTTAGTACAATAAATGCTTTGACCACGTAACTTTTGTTGTTTACAGTTTGTACTTGTGAACTGTTGAATGGATCTAGAGGTATCATCAAAAGCATAGGCCGTATAATCTTTTTCAATATTACTTTTAGTGAGGAGATTTGGGTCTATGTAGTGTTCATAAGGTTGTCAAATGAATCTTATATTGGTTTGGAGGTTAACCCTGGGCATCTCCTTTATTAATTGTGTTCGCAGAAAGTTAAACAACCAACGTGCTTCAGAGTGTTTATACACAGACGGTGTAAAAGATAAATTTTTTGTAGGAGAAATTTAAGGCATTTTATTTATAAAAGCATCATCTTGTTGTTTTGATTCCTCAGTACACTGGTTTTTGTAATTGGATTCTTCATCCCGTGTGATTTGAAAGTAAACTTTGGCCAGCATAAATTGCCTCTGCAGTCGTAGCGGATTGCTGAAGAACTTCAGTCTTTTGGTCGAATGAGAATTCCTTTTATGACCAGTCCTCTCTTCCACCCCCCACCCTCATATTCATACATTGAACACTCCATATTCCCATCATTCTCTGGCAACGTCTCAAATTCTCCTGCTAGGATTTCTATCCACTTTCCCCTAGGTTTTTCCATCATATTTTCTTTGTGTTCCTGTCTGCTTCCATCTGCTAGAATGAGTCTGAAGTTCACTGGAATTCCCCATCCATAAGCAGGATCTTTTAACATAAGAACAAATACAACCTGATAGAGAGTTCTTGGTGTGAGATTGACCGTGTTGAACCATCCATGAATTTCCAGCCAGCAAACGTTCAGCAGCTCTGCAGCCACTAGAGTCACATCACTGCAAAATAGGAAGCAGCACTAGTAATCAGTTTATAGTCCAGAAGCATCAGTCTGTAAAACATGATAAATCTGTTATTGGTTGTGTTTTTGGCATATCTGGTTTTTGAATTTTGATTGTGCATAACAAATGGCATGGCTTTTGGTGACTAACCGTTTACTCGAAAAGATTCTTTCCAAGAAGTGTTAAACTTCATAACTATTCTACAAAAATTATGACTTTCATCTCTTAGTTTATTATTCGATTTCTGATGCAACGTGTCGTTGTTCTTTGTTTACCCCAGTTCTTGGTCCTGCTAATAATAAATAAGGACTATTAGGGTACTGGATGGAGCTAGACACAGTTAGCAGACTTCTTGTTTTGTCTGCTAACTATGCTTCTCGGTAGCTACCTGGATTCTTTTATGAAGGGCCAGTGCCAGCAGGATCTGTCTTCAGCCCAGGTTATTGAAAGATTTCTTGCATATAGCATGAAGCAGTTCTTCTTAGAGGTCCTATCAATCCAATACTTCTGCATTACATAAAAGTCTCTGGTAAAAACTATTCTTGCATAATTAAGTTCATATTTTATGAAAAATAAAATGAAAGAAATGGTGATGATAGCTCTGTTTGGAATTTTTAATTCACTTGGCTACCCAACAGGATTTCAGACTCAGTAGGATGCATTACTTTGAATACTACTAAATCTGTAAACCGTGTGGATGTTTGCAGATACCTACTAAAATTTGTGAATGTGTTGAAAAACAGAATCACTTGCCTTCTTTTTTTGGTTTAAGAATACTCCTGCATATAGCTGATCATAGAGCTTCTCAGTAGACGACTTGTCAACCGGTGCATCAGCATCTTTGAGAATCTCTTCGTGATTGTGAGGAAGCTTAAGTTCTGTGGCAGTCTCCTGAATTGCCCCAGACTCATTATTGTTGATCTGTGGAGTGCATGGAGGGGTTTCCTTTCTGTGTTCTTCAGTAGGCTGTGATACCTCATCTTGTGACCACTCTGCCCCCATTTCGTTCTAAAGGAAGTCTTTGGGGAGCCTTGTTTATGCTGCAGGTAGCAGCGCTTATATTCTGCAAGCATGATTGCTTTGTTAAAGGTTGATATATTCTCTTTTAGTGGACCTCGAATCTCAAGCTAGGAAGCACACATTCTTGATGGCTACAAGTTGCATGCTGGGCTTCACGTGAATGTCGGTTTTTTACGAATCTTTTAGTAGAAGATTATTCTTCTCCTGATAACTAACGGCTATAATCAAGACATTCAGATTGCCTACTTTTTGTAAAGTTATTCTCAGCCATTGAAAAGTTTAGAAAAGGTAGTAGTATTCTTCTTGCATTAGCAGGCAGAGGATGAGCGCCTGCTGCCTATGCTCCTTTGCTATCTTTAAATGGGAAATTTGCCAAAAAAAAGCAAAAGGCCAAACGACTTAAATAAAACAAAGAAAATGATCAGCATCCCAGAAAAAAAGAAGTATAAAGGAGAAGGCATGTACTCATTACAATGGAAATGAAATTGATCTTTAATCCTAGAAATGTTGCTTCCCATAGGGGACAAAAAAAAAAGAAAAGGGAACAACTCAATATGTTGCCAAAAAAGCAAAATGGATAAAGAATTGGTTAGATGCCCTGGAAGCAGCAAGGTAGGATGTCTGGAAACCATAACCACAGCACTTGATTTTTTCAAGCATGCGCATACACAAATATTGAGATGGTGTCCGGCTTCACCCGAGGATAAACAAATAAACACATTCCAAGGCCTTGGAAGAGAAGGAACGACTGCAACATAGCTCAATATTCCTCAAATCTTATCCATTTCCTTCTCTCCAAAAAAGGAAAAAATGATGATAAGAACAATAGTAAAGACTCTTATTTATTGCTGCTCTGTGGCAGGAGGGTTGTCTGGTTTAACTTTGACCCCTCCAAGTACCATGCCACCCTTCCACCAATCAGTTTCCACTTCAAACATTCCAAACTCAACGGTAGTGATTAGAACTTCATCGTTAACAACAAAGGGTTTACCACCAGGTATCTCATGCCACTGATCAGGTTGCTTCTTGTAGGTCTCCAGTATGATGAGCTCAGTAGACATGATCTCCTGAGTATTTTTGAACTTCACCATAAATTTGACATCGGCCGTATGCCACCCAAATGCACCAGGCAAGAACTTTACTACATAGTATAGTCTATAGGTGGTGTGCACGGCCAAGTTCAAGCATGGAATGTCCAACATTCCAGTCACTTCAAACCAGTTCACTTGATCGAGTAATACAGCTTGCTCAAAGCCAACTGACCTGTAAGCAAGATGAGATTAATTCCATTTTAGTCATATGGTCAGGTATACCAGGTAAAGGCAGTAATATACAAGTCAAAAAAGATTACATGCATGAGGTATACTCTACAGATTTGGGCCATCAAACTAGCTTAAGTAGGACTAGTTTGACAACAAGCATGACTTAGTTGTTAAAATGTTTCGTCTGTAACCAAGAGGTTACGGGTTTGAATCATCATAAGATAAATGAAGAACTATTATTGATTCTCTTTTAATAATAATAATAAAAACTAGGACTAGTCTAGCAGAATAGTCTCCTGTACACAGAAATGGCTAAGCATCAATTAAGAAATTGTCAGGACTTAACATTTTACCTATTTTCGTCTTCGCCAAGCGTAATCCATCGCCAGTAACGATGGTCTCTTCCCCATGCGATGTTCAAAGCTTGGACCGGAATACTAAATGATCCTGCAGAATCTGGCCCTTCTATGAAAGACGGATCCTATCAGTACAGAAGTATACAAGTCAGAAAGGGTCTTCTTTACACTGTTTCTTAAGTCGTTGATCAATTGCTGGATTTGTCTGGACATAGAAAATGCATTTTTACGTTTGAAAAGGAACTAAACACGGGGAAATTAGACACTGAACTTTGCAGTTTCACTTACCCTTTTCCAGTGAGGACTGAAATGGTCGTTTCTTTGCCCAATCTCCATCTTCTGCTGCTGATTGAATCACCAAAAGTTGTAACCAAAAATAGTTATGTACCCGATTGTAGAGGGAGGAGAACTTCCTTAGAACACCAGAATTAGCGAACTTCTCCCTTAATGATGGAGTTTACTTGAAGTGGTGAAAAGACAGTGGTCTTGTTAGAAAAGTCATTACCAGACAGAAAGAAAAGTCCCATCAGGGACATCTGATATAATTAAAAAAAGACCGAAAGAAAGGAAGTCATCAAAGTCGCCAATCTCTTTCATACGCTTCATTCTTCAGGAGACCTACCATTTTTAGAATACAGAATTTAGATGTGATATTGCAGTCATAAAAACATTAGAATTTGCCATGTGCCTCCCAAATTTTGATGAAGAATCATCTCACGTACCATCAAGACACAAAGGATTACTGTGCACACGCATTTATAAATTCTGGTGTACACTAAAATATATGATAGACTGTGTTGTCCACTAAGTCTATGATAAACTGTCCACTAAAATATATGCAATTTACAATTACATATGATGATCCTATATGGTTGTGAGATGATCTATCTGTAAATCAAGATTTACAACATGCCATCTTACACCATCTCATGGCAGTAATGATCTGTCCAACCTTAATTGAGAATTAACCTTTGTGGTGGTCCATTTGATGGTGTTTTTGCTTTCACTTTCGCTTTTGCTTTTCTCTGTTCACATTCTATTATTCTGTCCGTACACTTAATTAAATCTAATTAATTAAAAAAGTTAGTCTAGCATATTGTTGTAAAAAAGTTTATGGATTTGATACAATGTTGAACATGATTAGATGAATCGTTTAATGGATTGGAAGATACTATTCTTAGGTAGAGATGATTAGATACGTAATTAAATCCAAGTAATTAAGAAAATTTAGTCTAGCATATTGTTGTAAAAGTTTACTGGATTTGATACAATGTTGAACATGATTAGATGAATCGTTTAAGGGGTTAGAAGATTATATTATTAGGTAGTTATTGAGACATTATTGAGAATGATCGAATCAACTTCTCTAAGCCTATTCCTTATGCTTCTGAGCTTGAAATTTTAGCTCTATTGCATTCTCATTTAGTCATGTGATTGGATATCTCTATCCCAAGTTTAATATAAGATGATTTTTTTGCAAACTATTTGGACGAGAGGATCACGAAGTTTAATAATTTCAATCTCAACTAATTTGCTGACAGAAAAAGAAAAGAAAAGAAAAGCAAGTGGGCTAATGCAACTTCTTGCATTTACTCCTTTATCATTTGTGTAATCTTCAATTTCTGGGTGCTACAAACCTCTAATTTCGACCATATAAAATATTGTACCGTCCAAGAACATTTTTTCTTTCTTCCATTTTTGGCTATGCTCAGAATGTATAGAAATGGAACCACTTATTAGAAATTTGGAATGCAGCCTTGACATATGCATTCAAGAGGATACTTTTTCACCTTTTTCTATGTTAGAAGTGGACTTACATTGGACAAAAAAAGTGCTGTATATGTCCATTTTGATATTCTTAATATCTCAATGGAGAGGGTTCTTAATATTCTTAACTTCCTCCTATTTGGGCTAAAAATGAAAAAATGTCATTGTCTACAACATATCATTTCAGCTAAGTCAAGTAATCAAGTGTGTAAATCAACAAACAGAAGCAAGATGCATAAACTTAACTATGTACAAAACAATCTTGGCTCATGAATAACAACAATATATATCCTGGTGATATGCCTCAAGTTATATATACGTGAAAATTTGGATCACTTTGGAGGTTGCTTGCAATAATATTTGCATTCACAAATGTTGCCTCTGCATGTGCCCTTACCACTTGGTTTTGTTGAACATTTTTGTGTGCATTTTTTTGGCTGACATTTGTTGGTGTAAATCTTCTCATGACAGATATGCTCTGGAATTGTTATGCAACTAACAACTTCAACTCCTAAGCCTGCAAATGGAGTTGAATATATGAAGTTCAGTAGATGTGTTTTTGCAGTTTATCTCTCTAGTTGTAACTTCACACATAGTATAAGATGCTTAATTCTTCCCCAAAGAAAAAAAAATGATAAAGCTCATAAAGTGAAAGTATTAGAGGTAGATAATATGGATTAGGATCCTGTTTAATTAAATTGGTTGACTTTATTCATGAAAAATATTGATTTACGCCGGCTAAACTTCTCCATTTGATTCAACACAGTAGCGTTTAAAAATAATTTTCACTAAATTTGAGCAAAGAAGTACAGTAAAATGTAATTGCAACGTTGAGTTCTAATGCATTCTCAAACCACAAACAAGCAATAGATGATGCAGGGAATTATATGATCAATGCCGCATAATATTTCGTATGGTATTTTTCAATTTTTTTTTATTTTTTCACAGACGACAACAATATAAAACTATATCAACAAAATGTCTACAAAGTAGAGACGAATTGGTTAAATCAGTTTAAGCCAAGTGTGATATTCAAATGGTAAATTCAACTCAATTAGAATTACAAGTATGAAAATTTCAAAATTCCAATATAATTCCAACTTTTTACTTTATGAAGTAAGAAATCGAGGTTCCCAAAGCTAAGATCTTGCTCATTTGACAAATTATTTGGTAATTGAAACTAGGACATAGTTATTTTATGGATTAAGGGAGATAACTCTTTAGTCTATCATTAATTTTGATAATTCTTTGTGCGAATGCAGGGCATGGACGGTTATCAGTGACAACTATCCAAAACAGTGTAATATTTTTTAAACAAATTGTAACTACTTCTTAATTGTTCGTATATGTTTACAATAGGAGCGTGACATTTTGTTACTATTTATGTGGACCCTTTGCATAATAATTGTGTGTATATTATAAAGTTTTACAAGTAATTCGCAGGAAGTGTTTAGAATATATTACATCGCTCTAGATGGTTGTCACTGACAATCGTTCGTATCCCGAATCCTCTTATATGGTTGGTTTTTAAGGATAAAATTCTTAATTTTTTTTGTCCCTCCATACCCGTCCATCCTCAACTATTACCTCTAAAATTCGAATTATGCATCTACATAGAAAACTCTACCAGCCATTCCCTGACCCTTGTCAAACCAACAGATTACTATCCACATATGTGATGCTCGATTTCTAATATCTGATATAACTTTGAAGGCACCATTACAGCACAAAAGAAGCATATGCGACTAATCCCAAGACACAAGACTGAACTGCTATTCCGAAAAATGCAGACAAAGAAACGATCAAATGAAAACTAATTTTTCAAGAATTCCTTGCTAGCGCTTTTGAGTAATATATAGCAAAGTTCCGTCTAAGTGCCATATTGAAATTTCAAATCAAAATGCAGATTGTTAAAACAGATGTACCTGAAGAGATTATAAGCAACGTTGCCAGTAGGATGGTTGACCAAAATAGATTCATTTTGAATCGAAGTTTGCAAGTGGGAAAATGAAACTCCAGCTCTCAGAAACGATCAAGCATAGAGGTTCCACTTTTACACAAGGTGCAGAAACTCAAATAGATATAATCAACAGGTATAAAGAGAGTGCAAATCTAATTGCATCCCTGAAATTAGTAAAGAAAAAAATGACGCCAAATGCATATAATTAGTACCAGATTGAGGGGTGAACCTCATTGTTTCAAATATGTTTACATCATAAAAATAGTTACTAGTTTTGCTTTGGGAGAGAATCACATTTATTGTCAAGTATGAAAAAGTGGATGGCGTGTCACAAAGAACAAATGTTTTAGAATAGCTTGAACGTTCATTTTGCACATATGCTTTTCTTTGCAAGTAATCCTGACTGGAAAGAATTTGCCACTGAAGTTAGTTAACGGAATCAAGTCTCTGGCCAAGTGAATTCTCTCTCAAAACGGTTATGCTTTCTGAAAGAATAAATTTTGGTCTAATGGGTGATCAAACAATTCCTTCATAAATATACATACACTACCATGAAAAATTGGAAGCACGTAACTTTTATATCCAGTAAGCATATAAAAATTAGGTGAAAAACCCTATAAACTTTCTTTAAGTTGCAAATTGTGCTGTTAATGAACTGAAATGCTTTCAAATTTGTAAACTATAATTACTAAAAATTTGACTGCCGCGTAGTCGAGCTCCCTAAATACTATCGAGTCGATTCTAAGGATCAAATTAAGTATTTAATCGAATTTAAGATCGAACTTGAGTCAGGTAAATTGTTCAAATTTATGCTCCTTTAGACTCATTTACGCCTCAAAATACTTTTAAATTATATGTTACAGCACTGTATACATTGTACTATATATTTTTTGTGTTGTACTTAAATTGAGTTTTCCATGCAAGGAATTTGACGATTAAAAGTTATTAATATCCCTAGATTCAATTAAGTTGCCAAAATGCCCTCTTTTTTTTCTTTCTCTTCACCTCTTTAGTAAATTTAGATATCTTAATGACTTTTTACTCATTAACTCCTAGCATCCATGAGTTGGTTCAAGTACATCCCGTCAAATTGATTGTTCGAGGATGCATGGTGCTGAAAATTTAGTTTAAGGGGCTCTTGTAAACCAAAGAAAGTTCATAGGGCTACTTTGCAATTGCCAAGTTGGAAAAACTTTTTATTTTTTCCTGTTGTTTCTTTTTTATTTTTTCCCTTAATAAAGGTTGGTGATGCTTTGGATAGACATCACCGACTCACAATCTTTTACTCAGAACGGCTAACAAGTGCACAATTTGCAATATATAACATAAGCGGCTATAATTAATTATCACATATTTACTTACTGTTGTTGTCATTATCACATATTAATTATCATCAACTCTAAGTATCTACAATGGATAATATTCTAATCTTCGCATAATAAGAAACTTTTCAATTTCTTTTATTTTGAATTTTTTTTGTTCTTTAGTAGCATATCCAAAACTTAAATCTATCTTTAAATGTTCGAATCTATAGTTTTCATCTATAATTATAACAGATTTTTTTTAATTACCTATAGATGCTGTTCCTATAATCATAGTTAATAACCCATGTACTACTTTTTTTTTCTCATTAATTCCACAAGAATGTCGTAGATTGCACATATTAGAACGTTAAGTACATTTTCTTACTTCTTAATCAGAGACTAATCAACTTGCTTATAGCAAGTATTATCAACCGTGAATAATGCATATGTGTGCTTTTATATGCCTTTAATACATTTTAGCTGCCAACCCTTTCTTAAACACAGAAATAAACATTATATTTCAAAATCTTTTTCCTTTCTTTCATTCTCTTTTTTAGAAATAACCAAATGGATAAGCAATGCCTAGAAGGAAATTTATTGACAGCATTAACTATTCAATGCCTAGGAGGAAATTTGTTAACAACATTAACTATTCTCTTAATTCGCATTGATTGATTCTGTTTAAGAAGATATATGTACACTGCCCACCAGAATTGAGCAACCAACTGTTCTCTACACTCGATCGCCAACTTTGTCTCAATTATGTGATCTTAGAACTTAGGCCACTCCAAGGATACATTGCTTTTTTTTCCTCTTTTTTTTTTTTTGGTACTGTAAGAAATATCATCATCAAAAATAATAAAACTTAATTTTCTTGATGAAGGTTGGTAATGTAGGATAATTAATATCTTAGACATTACCAACTTACCATGTATATTAGTCACAAATGGCTTATTTTTTCATGTAATTAATTTTGTAACGTATTCGATATATGGCAATGTAATTGTTAATTACCATATATTTATTTTTTTTCTTGTATATTAGTATAGTGGCAGTAGTGTCAATTCTGATGCGGATTCATAATTATTTATCCTAAATATTTCTGCTGCTCCTATTAATGCTCAATCTTTAGCTATAAATTCCTTTGTCACTATCTTTCATTTCATCCCCCATTAAAAAAAAACGAAAAATAAAATCAAATACACCACACTTATGTCATTTTTCTATAAATTGATCACAAATGATGAAGGAAGATGCCTTGTGAGTTGGAAAAACCTCTATTTCTAAACCAGGTCTATCATAAGTTTAACCATCCACAGCTTTGTTCCTACTTATGCACCATATTTAGCCATGAATTCCATCCTTCTTACACCGTGCCAATGACTGAATAAAAGAGCAATACCTAAAATTGATATTGCTTCTGTTCATTCATAAACCAAAACTCAATTTCTTTTCAGCAAATTGATCAAGAAAACATGGTGAACGGTCAGTGTGTGCTTTGTGATCTGGGGAAACCTCCATTTCTACACCATGTCTATCACAATAACAACTATTTGCAACTTTGCACATCTTGTTTACTCAACGTGTATCGTGGAGCCTATTGTCCAATTTGTTTCCAAGTCTATGAACCAGAAAATCCCAACCCCTCTTCAGATCTAGTCAATTGCTATTGCTGCCCGGCAATCACTCATCTCTCCTGCATTAATTCTGGAGCAGCCGCAACCTCAACCTCCATCTCTATAACCATCCGGGGGGTCCCATACATATGCCGTTCTTGTGCTGATCCAAATTTCAATTTTTTCAATCTTGGTGCAGATGAGAAAACTAAAATGTTAATGATTGATCAGCATTTCGCAAATCAGCTGATAGCTGCATCGGTGATTTCTGAGCGGACGATGAAGGAGGCTGCTGAATTACACAGGCGTTGGGCTGAGATGAAGGCTGAGGAGGCTTTGCAGGCTCGAAAGGAAGCGAAGCTAGCTATAGAATTCTTGGCACAGATGATTTCCCAGTTCAATGTGTCAAATAATAGTGAAGATGCACCAATTATCTCAATTTCAAGTTCATCTTCTGAGTTCAATGAGTCAGATAATAGCGTAGATGCACCAATTTACACAATTTCAAGTTCGTCTTCTCAGTTCAATGAGTCAGATAGTAGTGTAAATGGACCAAGTGAGTCAATTCCAAGTTCATCACATAGCAGAGAAAGTAAAAACCGAAGATCGGACTAGACGTAGAAAGCGTTACATTGACAAAAACATAGGGTATAAGTTATAGAATTGGTCCATTTTCATGGTGTTAGAATGAGGGTTTGATTATATTTTCCCTTCTGTTCTCTTTCCCCTCTTCAAAATGTTGTCCGCAAGATTAAGAAAGATTGTTAATTCTCTTCCCCCTCTTTAAAATGTTGATTTGTTTGGGTGTTATGCAGTTCTTTTTCATCATCGTTTGAAAGATTTTTGAACTTTTTTCTAACAAGTATATTGCATCTTCTACAATTAGATCGATAAAGATTAAATCTGTAGTCATGACATCAACATTTTCATTTATATTGCAAGACAAACATTTTCATTTACCAAATATATTGCATCTTTTTCATCATCTATTGTAAAAGTTGAATTTCATGAGTAAATCAAAACAAACTATTATAAAGAATTTTCAAGGTACAATATATTACTAGTATCCAATAGAAAATTTAAGTTGTAGATTTAATATTGATAAATAGTAAAAGAAGTGCAACAAAAATAAAAAGTAGTACTCTCATTAAATTATAGTACTTGTACACCTCCGTTTGGATTGGTCATTTTTTGAAAAACTCCAATTTCATATACAATGTTACAGTAATACACAAACAAAAATAATTTTAAAAATTCCAAAACCAATCTCAAAAACACAAAAAATAACCTCAAAAATAATTTCATCTACAGTAAAAGTTTTTCACCTATATTGTTATAGTAAAATATTTCAAAAATATCCTCAAAAACAGCTAATCCAAACGGTATATACTAAATATAGTACTACCCAATCTGGTACTTGTATTAATAGTTAAAAGAAAAAGCCAACATGGAAGCGATGAGAGGATACGTCGTAGTTAGGGGTGTTCATGGATCAGGCAATCAATCCATTTGCAATTTAGTTGACTCTAAGTGCATGTACCAGTTCAGCAAAATTGCATTATACCTTAACCCAATTCAACCGGTTAATTAGTGATCGATTAATCGGTGGGATAGGATTAAGTAATTAGTGTAACCTATTGTTCTTCTATTTATAGGAATAAAAAAAAAAGAATTAGATTAACAAATCAAATAGCGCAACATTTTTCCAAATCAATAAGAGTATTTAATCATAACTCTAAAAAATTATCAACAATATAGAAAATCAATACACATTAGATATTAAAGCACCAAATATTTTGAATATTTGTTTTCATCCATTTCTAGAAAGCTATCAATTTATTTTTTTAATGAGGAGTTACTCCACAACCAAACATGTAAGTTTTAAAAATTGAAAACAAAATAATTACTAGAGTGATGAAGTTGATAGAATCTATGAGAAATGAAAAAAAGTTTTGAAAAAGGACAAAGCAAAAAAAAAAAGAAGCACCAGAAATGCAGTTAGTAGTGATGTATATAGGAAGTGAACAAGGTAAATGGGAGTTAGGTTTAGGTAGATAAGTTTATAAGTTTTTAAAAAAATAAAATATATAATGGTCTTCCTTACTCAAATATTATTAGTAAATGACTAAAAAATTATGAGTTGAGATTTGGGTACTGATTACCCTAACCAACCCTACGTGCCTACACATATGCAGGTTGTTTTAGGTAATCACGATGTTTGAAAATTGAAAACCACATTCTAACCTATTTTTTTTTTATGTAGGTTTGGGTAATCTAACTGTTTTAAAAATTGTGAGTTAGTTACCCTATTTTACAGTTTGGATCAATTAGATTTTCTTGGTTACTCGCTTTTTTGGTTCTTTTTTAACACCCCTAGCTGTAGTAATGGATTGTTATATGTAGAAATAGTTAGATGCAATGTGTGAATTGTATAATGGGTACAAAAAATTTTGAGTAAAATTTCAAAAGGTGAGACTTTTTCGAAATCAATTCTAAAGAAGTAGTGTTATTCAAATCTCTTCCGAAAGGGTAAAAAACGCATTTAGTGAACATGTTGTTTCCATAAAAACTGCATTAACAAAATGTATTCTTTTATTTGTCTACATATTTTTACTCACTGAATGCATTATATCAAAAGTTAGTAATGGATTGCCATAAATAGTTAGACACATTGCATAAATTGTATAAGGGGTACGAAAAATTCAAGTAAATTAAAAGGTAAGACTTTTTCAAAATCAATTCCAAAGGAGCATTGTTATTCAAATCTCTTCCTAAATTTTGCATATATGTCATGTATCCAATTATGATAGTGTATACACTGTCAGTGTATATAAGATTAACTCATTCTTTTTTCTTAGAAAACATGTTTACTAAATGCGTTGTTTAAAAGATGCAGTCACTGAATGCATCGTATCAAAGGTTTCATTATTTGGGAGCTCTTTTAAACACTATCATTGTTTCAGAATTACCTTGAAAAATTTAGATCTTACAAAGATAATTAACTACGAAAAAAGTTGTGATCAATTTCAAATTGTTCAAAATTTTCTTATGTACTAATTGACAATAGTATAAAACGTTGGTTATATGCTACTTATTTTGATAAAGTTTTGTTTATATATGGATTATTTTTTATAAAGTTTTGTTTATATATGGATTATTAAAAGTGCTTCCTGTCGAAAAGCTCAATAGGTTTTAACATTGACTTTTCCAGGACTTTCTTCTTGTTATGTGTCAAAAAAAAAAAAAAAGAGTTTTGTTGCCAAAATTGCTCTGTAGGACAAAACAATCAAATCACATAACACATATTTCAAAAGAAATCAAAATACAAAACAAAAAATTGCTTATTCTTTTAACGTACCTTCCCATAGTGGAAGTAATAATCCAAAAAAATCATATATTAGTTACTGGCTACATACATATATTTTCTAGTTTAGAAAATTTTGAACCAACTAAGATTCCGTAAATAAAACTCCTCTAGTCAATGTCAAAAATACTAAAAAGATGAAGTTATCAAAAGCAAATACAACTGATTGAATCATTAAAAGTTTATCCGAGACAAAGTATGCAAGCTTAAATTGTTACAGGAAACTCCTGAAAATTTAAATCAAGAAAAGAGTTAAAAAAAACATAGCTCCAATAGGATTAAATTGAAAGGCAGCAAATGAAAATTTCCAGTGATGCAATATAGTTCCCTCACCTGAAATTTTATGTTGAGTAAATAGCAATACAAAATCATTAACCACAAACCTTACAACCAAATTACGAAACAAAATAAACAAACAAGTGTAAAGACTACCTATGGAACCTTAAACTAACTAAACAAGGAAAAACAAACTGATTCCAGTCCATAACTCTATAAACTCACAATTTTAATTATTCCATACTTTTAGAGAAATAATTTATTAGACAAAGAAAAACAATGTATAATAAAAAGTATCCTCTTTTCTCTAGATCCTCATCCACGCCATGATATTGATATTAAAATCTAGATTAACCATTATTCTATTTAGAGTCAAGGAGGTTTTGGTCTAACAGTTAAAGTTAAGGTTTTAGAATTTAGATACTCTTGGGTTCAAATCCCCCTTTCCCACAACTTAAATTCTATCCTTTCTCTATTAGAGTTTTTTTTTTAAAATATTATTCTAGCTTAGATTTAATATCCAAAGTAAATCATACAAAAATTTTGATTTGGAAATCAAGCGAAAAATAACAATAATACTTGTTGAATAGCGCTTTTAACAGGGACATTAGGGACAACAGCCACGCCTTTAATATCAAGGAACAAGGACAGACTAATAGACGTATTTCCCCAGCTGTTCATTCACAAAATCTACAATCCTAGTCAACACGCTCTAGATGCTGAAAAAATTTTCTCCTACCACAGCAAAACTAACATAAAGTACTAAGGGAAGAGCAACGTAAAAAACTGAAAATAAAAAACTTAATAAAACTACTGAGCATAAGAGAGAAATAGAAGAGAATAAGACGATAAGTATTGGAATTGTTAAGCAAAAGAAGATAGAAAAATTTGTCATCGGTGGAAACCATAGTAGTAGGGTAAGAGTTAATTTTCAACGATTAATGCTCATTAAACAATTTTATTAAATTACAAAAAAAAAACCTGGTAGAAATCATATCGCACAACTGAAACCCAAAAGCTTATTATGGCAAATAAATAAATTGTAGGATAAGGAAGAAGAAGAAGAATTGAAGTAACGGTTGTAAAAAATACCCCAAACCATACAGTCGAAGTTTGAAATATGAGTTTGACTAAAAACTCATCCGTATATAGTATAGAGATTTCTAATAAATAATGGTGTTTATGAATTGTTTTATTAATTGATATATATATATATATATATGTTAAGCATATTCGATCAAGTGGCGTAAATTACTTTGAAGGTCCTTAAATATTTGCAAAATGTTCTCCTTAGTCCTTTTTTTCTCAAAAGAAGTTCTGTTTAGTTTTAAACTCTTTAAAAAGTCCATGGACTCTCAAAGTTTGTAAGAAATTAATTTAGTCCCTTGATATTAGTATATAGTTATAACCTCAAATTCTTTCTTTTATGTGAAATTACCATCAAAGAGCAATTACAATAGTTCAAAGTAAAAGAACCGTGGATATGGAATATTAGACATTTAGAATTTTTTTTTTCAAGGGATGGATGGAATTTAAGGAACGAGGAGAGATTTGAAACCTAAAACCTTTGAATCCTGCAATTTTAACCTTAACCGTTAGATCAAAATCTCGTTGACTAGATCTTTAAGAGTTCTTTCAATGTCAAATAATTTTTTTTTAATATCAATTTGTTCATCATTCAATCTTAGTAATGGATTTGTAAGTTGCAATTGCACGTGATTTAAATTTTTTTTTATACTTTTGTTATTTGTTATTTACAACGTGTATAGTTACTTAGGTGCAGTTTGTTCGAGTTCTTTGGTATATTATAGATATCTTTTTATCTTGTGACGGGTATTTTACATACGTACAAGTTAAAAAATCGAATTACACCCGTTCACTGCAAGTATACAGATCAACTAGTAGTTTAGGGTATATATCGGGTCAATCCCACAGGGAAGAGTGAACAATTACCGGTATTATTAAAGCTTCTTTA